AGGTTTTTAAGAAGAGATTGGACAACCATTTGTCTGAAATAGTATAGGGTTTCTTACTTGAGCAGGGGGTTGGACTAGAACAGTGGACCCCAACCTTTTGGGCATCGGGGACCGGTTCCGTGGTTTTTCCAAGGACTGGAGGAGGCATGGTTTCATGTGCTGCCTGCATCCCACAGATGGAGCTTTGCTTGTTTGCATGGACTGGTTTCTGGCGTGCCACAGACTGGTGCCGGTCCACAGACCAGGGGTTGGGGACCCCTGAACTACAAGACCACCCATGTCCCTTCCAACTCTTTCATTCTGTTAACTTATAAGGTTGAAGGCTCCCTGCATTCAGATGGCTCTGGGTCTATCACTCTTCTTGAAAGACATGGAAGTGACATCTATGACATATTTCCCTGATTAAGTTTGATGTCCTCTGCTAGGCAGAGATAAAGTGAGACCAGCTATCTGTGCTTCAGGATTTGACTTCCCTTGCTCCTCCCACTCTGACATTCTCTGGCATCATTCTGGGCATTGAGGTCCTGACTCACCTATCATAGCTGGGTCTGCCTCAAGAGACCGCCCTTTGTCCAAAATATAACCACACGCTCCAAAAAATGAACCAGCAAATGACAATCATCACTGCCCCTAGCCAAAACAGATGGATAAAAGCTGTGATCCTCGATTCATTTATTACCGTGATCCCAGATCATAACAAGAATGGAAAATGGTAAGAAAAAAAGAGAAAGAAAAAAAATAACAACAAAGGAAAGGCACACGAAGGGGTTCAGATTTTTTTTCCCCCTGAGTTTAAAAGAAAACAGGGCCATAATACCTGGACTCAGATCTGCAAAAAGGTAGTTCAACTGACCCATAGAAGCCTGTGAATTTTTACGTTATACCTGGGAATTGATGAATGTTTGCAAATTGTTGCTTTTAACAAAATGAGCATCAACCCAACCTATCCGAGACAATTAAAAAACATCAAGAAGCTCCACTCACAGCAGTGTTAATAGAGCCCACATAAAATATTATAAAGGAAGAAACTTTGCAATTCGGAGTGGGATTTAAAATTGAAGGAGGGAAAAACAACCCTGAATTCTGCCAGGAGCTGCTTTTAAACAGCCTTTTTAGCATTCAAGACAAACATTTTCAGTCAATTCAGATCTTACAGCTCCCTCTGCCGGTATTTGCAGACACTTAGATTTGCTTTTGGGACACCCAGATATAATTCTGTTTTGACATCGGCAAATGGATTGTTGTTTTGCATCCAAAGCAAAATTAATTTATTATAATGGAGGATTTATTTTAGTAAGTATGAAATCACAATTTATCGGATCCCTGCTTAGCAGACTTCCAAAGCAATGAACCAAGCACCTATCTAGACATTACCCAAAAGTAACAGACAAAACTGTTGCATTCAAAGTAATAGTGAGTTTCCTGCCTGAGCAGGGGATAGGACTAGAACAGGTCTTTTCAACCTTTTCACCCATTGTACCACTTTTAGGACATGGCAACATCCGAGTACCACCAGTCGCCTAGCAAGGTGTCAAAAACTTGATGACCAAAAAAAAGGGAAAAAGTGATAAAGTACAGGTAGTCCTCGACTTACAACAGTTCGCTTAGTGTTCGAAGTTACAATGGCACTGAAAAAAGTGCCCCCCAAGCCACAGCCGAGCAAGACACCTGCCTGCCTGCCCGCCCGGCGGCGTTCTTCCTCCTGTCCGAGGTTTTCATTGTTTTGAGCATTTCTGTTGAGAATTGGCAGCGGGGGCGGGGTGGGGGTGTTTGGTTTTTATTCCCCCCGTCTGCTGGGTGGTTGCAGCAGGTTTTGGTCACTTCACATGACCCTGGGACACTGTGACCGTCATAAATATGAATCAGTTGCCAAGCATCTGAATGTAAATCACAAGACCCTGGAGATGCTGCAACATTCCAGCTGATCGGCGCTTCTTCTGGGCTCAGCGGAAGTGCCAGGATCAGTGCTGCTTTCCAGCTGGAGCCTGGCGCTGATCCTGGCGCTTCCACTGAGCCCTGACAGCCCAGCAGCTCCCGCCGTCTCTCACTCAGCCTTGTGCGGTGCTGCCACTGGTTCAGCTCATTCCCCTCCCCTGCTACCACTTTTCTAGGATGGTCGCATACCACCTGCCAGGTGCCAATGTACCACAGGTGGTACCCGTACCACTGGTTGAAAATCCCTGGACTAGAGGACCTCCCAGGTCCCTTCCAACTGTGTTATTCTGTTATATTGAGTGATCATGTCATCAGCTTAGTGACTACATAGATTTTCTCCAGGACATTCTGTCACAAACCTGTTTCTTCAGATCTTCCCATGGGACACCTAAACATAAGTCAATCAATCAATCAATCAATCAATCAATCAATCAATCAATAGGAAGCTGTCCTCCTGAACCATATTTTCAACCCAGATTCTTCCATTCTTTGAGCAAAATGGGACCCAACAAGATTTGTTGTGTTTAGCCATTTAGCAGGTTATTAATACAAGACTTTTAATGATTAATTTATTATTTATTAATAATAATGTATTAACAAATTAATAAATTAGTACCAATGTATTAATTAATAACTTATTAATAAATGAATTACTTATTAATTATAATAATTCAATATAAGATCTTATTAATAAAAGAGACTGGACAACCATTTGTCTGAAATGGGATAAGGTCTCCTGCTGGAGCAGGGGGTTGGACTAGAAGACCTCCACGGTCCCTCCCAACTCTATTGTTCTATATTCTGTGAAAAGACTCCAGTAACATAAACAGTCATTACAATCCACAATATTTCATGTCTGATGGAAAACAGCTCAACTTTTTATTTAAATATCAACTTGGCTTTGCTTGGATTTGTTTCCATTCTTCTGCCAGATGAAATTCAGCAAGAACGTAAAAATGATGTCCCGTGTCCTGGCATTCAAATCTACCATTCTCATAAGGCACAATCCTGGTTTGAACCCATGCGTCCACGGGGGACATTAAAAAGGGGCTTAAATGAGGCAATTATTCAATAGCTGCAAACGGCATAACTGAGGCAGGAGTGGGAAACTTGTGTTTTTAGCAGCTTTAGCTCACATGGTGAAGGATGCTGGGAAGTGTAGTTTGGTGATATCTAGGGGAGCATCGGCTTGCCCACCCCTGCTGGAATGAATCATGCAAACACTTCAATTGTGAAAAGACTCTACTGGTAGATTCAGCCGGAGAAACACAGAATGGTGTTGAAACCAGGAACTACAAAGAGAACAAGATGTTTTGGAAGCAAATAGGAAAATGCCATTTTTAGAGCAGGTCTTCAAGTACAGAGAGATCAATGTGACCTTCCTATATCTGGAAGACACAAGGTTCTTTTGACCTGAGACCCCCCCAGTACAATAGAATTTCTCACTGTTTAGCAATCTGAGAAGCTCACCCCCCACTCACTGAACCTAGCTTCCAAATATCTGTAAGCTTGGTTTCTATTATTCCAACAACCGATGAAACACAAGAGGGTGATTTTTTTTAATACCCTGCTAATTTTTCATCCCAAACCAATATAAGCACTGGTGTGAAACTGAAATCCCGGTATGAATGAAAATCTTAAGCTAAAGAAGCTTTGTAGATGTCTGCCCATTCTTCACATCTAACAGACCTGCAGGGCACCACTTGTAGAAGGTTGACCTAGAGAGGCAACTCACAAAATCCAAGGTTCTCATCTCTTGATGTCTTCCAATCTTCTCGTTCGCACGAACTTTCTGGATGAAATTGTTCTTCCAGCAATTAGAATGACAATTCTAGTGGGCATGCTCTGGACTTTTGATGCTGTCCAGAACTGTTAGACATCCCTACTCAGAGGATGATGAGAAAAGAGAGCTGCCTTATTGGATATGATATGGATGACAGTCCTATAACCATAGTTTGGACTTTGCATAATCTGCTCACTCCCTCTCCATTGGGTGATAATTTTTCTGAATCAAGGTCTTTTAGGCCTGCTGGTCTATGGCTACCTTCACTGACAGTGGCTTTGGCCACTGGGGTGACACAGTTGTAACTTAAAAATTCTGAAGGACCTCAAGTTGTGACAAGCTGATGTTGTTGGTAACCCCATTGGTTTTTTTAAGAGAGCTGGTCCAACATTATTGTACAGGTGTACCTACGTGTTCATAATTGAAATATGGGTATGGTTGTTCACCTGTATATATGTACACTAGGATGATATGCAAATAATCCATGGGTTTGCGAGGTTTTGCGGGAGGCCGCAAGGGAAGGGGGAGATTTTGCAGCTCTCAATGGAAATCTGACAAATTCCTTGCCCTTCTTTTGTTCATTGTGGGAGGATTCTGCCTCCAGAACTTTGCCAAACCTTGACCTACATACATCACCTGAGAAACACAGCTAAGTAATTGTGAGTTCTACCTAGACATCGGAAAAAAAACAAAAATAAGAAAACCCATCCTCGTGGAGTCTTAAGATTACAGAACAAGGCAGCTCACACTAGGTCTGGGATGTTTGTGTCCATAGGACACTCATGACGATGGCTTCAAAACTCCTCAAAACAGGGTCAAAACATATGTTTTGAGTTTCTACAAGCTTTTGCTGTAGCCCAGATGTCATCATGAATGTTGGAAAAAAATAAATTGGGTGGGAGGAGATTATGGGTGGATCCATGCACTTCTTATCTTATCACACAGGAAGATAACCAAGAGCAAGCTGTACCTGGTTGCGTATTTTGGGAGTGTGCCTGCAATGTAACACCATTTTGCTGCAAAAGACACTGAAGCCAGAGTCAGTATATTTAAACTGCTCCTAAGGTCATCTTAGGCAATTGACCCAGGTCTTTCCAGATACACTGGATTTCTGTAATTCCCAACCTGAACAGCCGACATAGGTCTAATGTTGGCTAGATCACCAATATACGGGGGTAGGGAGAATCCTCTTTGGGATAATGGAGGAATAGTACCTAATCAAAGAGGTGAAACACACACCAACCGTGTGGGAGGGAAAAGATGAGTAGATGGCTAGTAAATCTGGAGGTAATGCATGGACTTTTATCATTCCATAGCTGGTACGTTTTTCCTGGAATTCTGCTTTCTATTCTGGAATCTTGACACCTCCCTCTAAGTCCGTGGATGTGTTTATAAGTCTGTGTATGCTGGATCCAGATCCATTCTTTGAGCTTTTCCAAAGAGGAGGAATGTGCAAAGTCCAAGGACATTCACAACAGCCACAAGATTGAAAACAGAGACCCAGGAGCCTGTGTTTTCAATGAGGTGTCCAGCTAGGTATACACAAACAACACCTGTGTGCAGAGAGAAAAGCAAAAGTGAATGTGCTGGCTTTTTTAAAAAAAACAACAACACAATCTTGTTTCAACCCAGAAATTCTTATTTTGGGCTATTCCCTTGACAACCAATAAATTCAGATTACTACAACACGCTCCACCTGGGGCTGCCCTTGGAGACTACCCAGAAACTGCAACCAATGCAGAATACATCCCTTACCAATGGATTGATTGGATCGGATTGTTATCCTACCTTTTGTACAAGTATACAAGCAGCATGTATAATGCTTCTATTTCTCCTATTATGCACCACCGCAACAGCAATCCCGAGAGGTAGGTTGGGTTGCAAAAGAATATTTGACCCAGAGTCATCCAGTGACTAGATCCTGCAATACAGGTAGTCCTCGCTTCATGAACAGTCACTTAGCAACTGTTCAAAGTCATAATGGACCTTCCCAGAACTACTTACAACCTGTTTTCGAAATTGCAGCCTACTGTGGCAGATCTTTTCTGAATACTGGAGGGGAGTTGAACTCAGCAAGCAACTCTTTTGCTCCACCCGGTTAGTAACCTGGGAGATTGCTTAATGACTGCAATCAGAAGTGGTGGGATTGTGGTCATTGAGCAAGGCAGTTTCTTGGGCATCCTTGCTTAACTACTGCTTTATTCCATGACCATAAGTCAAGGAGTATACCTGTATACTTAATTTTCTAAAAGCTGAAGCTTAAGGAGCTATTACAAGAGAAGGCCTTTGAAACCATATAAGGAACGGTTGCTGGAATTTGGTATGTCAGTCTAATAAAGAGAAGGACGAGGGGGGACATGTTAGCAGTCTTCCAATATCTCAGGGGCTGCCCCAAAGAAGAGGGAGTCAAGCTATTCTCCAAAGCACCTGAAGGCAGGACAAGAAGCAACAGATGGAGAGAAGCAACCTAGAACTAAGGAGAAACTTCCTGACAGTTAGAACAATTAACCAGTGGAACAACCTGCCTCCAGAAGCTGTGGTGCTCCAACACTGGAAGTTTTTAAGAAGAGACTGGACAGCAATTTGTCTGAAATGGCCTGAGCAGGGGGTTGGACTAGATGACCTCCAACTTTATTATTATTATTATCATTATCATTATCATTATCATTATCATTATCATTATCATTATCATTATCATTATCATTATCATTATCATTATTATTATTATCATCATCATCATCATCATCATCATCATCATCATCATCATCCAGCTGGATTATCCTTGTATAGTTTATTTATACTTATTTATTTATTTGGCTGTGTCGTTAGAGACACAAAGAATTTATCTCCAGTACAGAAGCACTCTAGTGTACTTGCAAAAAACCAGAAAATACTTATACTAATAGAAAGGTGTAGAGCAGGGGTAGGCAACTTTGGCTCTTTTATGACTTGTGGACTTCAACTCCCAGAATTCCTGAGCCAGCCATGCTGAGGGGAAAAGGAGAAGTTTCCAAGCTGAGCCATGCTGGCTCAGGAATTCTGGGAGTTGAAGTCCACGAGTCATAAAAGAGCCAAGATTGCCTAGCCCTGGTGTAGAGCCAATAAAAGGGGGAAGTAAAAATAATAAAGGGGATTAATAATCATATTGCAGCCACACCTTATGGGTTAATATACATATACATTAGGCAAAAAAAAATCCCCTTACTTAGTCCCTTTGTTATTTCCTAGCTGTGGACTGAAAGCTAATTCCACAGTCCATCCAGTTGCTCCTTTGGATACAAGTATAGCTGAGAAACAATTGGGGGAATGGTGAATTGTTTGATACTCCATAACATACCTAGTAAAGCTCCACCTGTATTTGCCACACCTAAGGAAAGATAAAAAAAAAAGGTGAGGTATAAATTCAAAAAGGACTTGATGTTCTGATATATTTTTTTTATCATTTCTGCCTCCATCAAGCACGCCACCATCTTTTGGGGACTTTGAATAGTTTCTTCCTCTGAATTTATCACTCTGCTTTTCCTTCAGGGAATTCTCTTCCCCCCTCCTTTATTGGGACGTTTCCTTGAATGATTATAATTCCTCTCATTTTGGCCCTACAAATAGTCCTGAATCCTTCTGCTACCCTCAAGACATCACTGATCATCTATATACTGCCAAAACTCTCTCGTCTGTTTGCCTGTTTGTAACCTTCAATTGGGAGGTAAGGTGTATCACAGGGCAACAATTTTTGAACCCATTGTCCCAGATGTGCTTTTTCAGGAGGCAACTGAACTTTCTTGTTTTTCTTAGAAGACCTTTCGCTTCTCATCCAAGAGGCTTCTTCAGCTCTGTCTGGATGGTGGGGAACGGAAGGATTTATACCCCTTGCAGACAGCTGGTCATTTGCATTCTTTTAGAGAGTTGTTGCTCCTTCATGGATTACAGATTTTATCTTCCAGGGCTCCAAGATCACCACAGACAGGGACTGCAGCGAAGAAATTAAAAGACGCTTGCTCCTGGGGAGGAAAGCTATGGCAAATCTAGACAGCATACTAAAAAGCAGAGACATCACCCTGTCAACGAAAGTATGTATGGTCAAGGCCATGGTTTTCCCAGTTGCAATGTATGGCTGTGAAAGTGGGACCATAAGAAAGGCTGAGCGCCAAAGAATTGAGGCCTTTGAACTATGGTGCTGGAGAAGACTCCTGCGAGTCCCCTGGACTGCAAGGCGATCAAACCGGTCAGTCCTAGAGGAGATCAACCCTGACTGCTCTTTAGAAGGCCAGACCCTGAAGTTGAAACTCAAGTACTTTGGCCACCTAATGAGAAGGAAGGACTCACTGGAGAAGAGCCTGATGCTGGGAAAGATGGAGGGCAATAGAAGAATGGGACGACAGAGAAGGAGGTGGCTGGATGGAGTCACTGAAGCAGTAGGCATGAGCTTAAATGGACTCCAGAAAATGGTAGAGGACAGGAAGGCTTGGAGGAACGTTGTCCATGGGGTCACGATGGGTCGGACACGACTTCGCAACTAACAACAACAACAGAGAGTTCTTGAGGCCATTTGAAGGTTTATCTGTCCCCTCAGGGTCATTTGAGTAGTGCAGATGTGTGTGGAGCCTTCTTGGCTGCACGATGTTTTCTGCCCTGGGTCCCTTCATTGTTGAAGACAGGCGCAGGCTGTTTACGGAGCTGAAGAAGCTTCTTGGATGAGAAGCAAAACGTCTTCATAGAAAAACAAGGAAGTCCAGTTGCTTCCTGAAAAAGCACCTTTGGGGGACAACCATGACCTGGATGACTGAGAATCTCCACAGACAATTTGAATCCATTTTTGGGCCAACACAAAGAGAATCGGGACTTGTCGTTTTCCCCAGCTCTTTTCACTCAAATCTCTCTGATAAGATCATCGGAAGGGCAAGGATCTTTTCTCCCAGATTTCATTGTTTCCGTTCATTCGTTCATTCAGTGACGTTCATTCACACCCTGCAGGAAAATGTGTGTCATCCAGTTCTTAAGACTTCTTATACTGTAAAGAAAGCAGATGCATAGGGCTTCCGTGGCTTAACCAAGATTAGTTCACTTATTCATGCTCTCTAATTCTTCTTGACTCGTGATAATTACCAGCCAGGATGGCTAGAGGTTGTTTTCATGGTTCAAATAATCTGAGTTAATCCAGATGTCTATGGAGATTCTCAGTCATCCAGGTCGTGGTTGTCCCAAAGGTGCTTTTTCACGAGGCAGCCGGCCTTTCTTGTTTTTTCTTTGAAGACGTTTCGCTTCTCATCCCAGGAGCTTGAGGAGAGCTGAAGAAGCTTCTTGGATGAGAAGCGAAACGTCTTCAAAGAAAAAAAACAAGAAAGCCCCAGTTGCCTCGTGAAAAAGCACCTTTGGGTGTGTTAATCCAGATTTTCACAGAAAGTCAGACCCTTTGAAATTACAAAAAAAAATTGAATACAAGAGCTACATGCTGACCACTTTCTGGCAACTTTGCCTTCAAATGATATTTTGTGGTAATATAATTAGGGTGGGTTTTTTTCCTGACAGTACAAACCAAGGATCTTAGAAATAGCTAACTGAATATGACAATATCAAAAGATAAGAAGGATTAAGCCAGATTAGCATTTGGATGGGAGCCTAATCAGGAATCCCAGGGCATAGTAGTCTTCGTTGGGAAATTGGAAAAACCTCCCAGAAATGGAAAGCCAATTCCATATTGTTGCCAGGAAAACTATATGGACACAGCCATGAAGCCATCAGGAATCCTTCCCACTTGACTTGATATAAATCTTGTAATAGAAAAAAAAGTAATTTTTCCTCACCAAACAATAAACCAGCACATGAAGGAGCCAGATCCTGAATATTGACTGAGATGCCACTGCACAAAAAAAATAAAGATGTCTTAGAACCAAATCTCAATTAGCAGTTAAATTGGCAGGATTTGAAATGAGTTAAAACTTGAGTGCTATGTAGTAGTAGTAGTAGTAGTAGTAGTAGTAGTAGTAATAGTAGTAGTATTTATTTATTTATTTATTTTATTAAATTTATATCCCGCCCTTCTCCTTGCGGACTCAGGGCGGCTAGTAGTAGTAGTAGTAGTAGTAGTAGTAGTAGTAAAGTTGGAAGGGACCTTGGAGGTCATCTAGTCCAACCCCCTGCTCAGGCAGGAAACCCTATACCCTTTCAGACAAATGGCTGTCCAGTTTCTTCTTAAAAACCTCCAGTGTTGGAGCATTCACCGCTTCTGGAGGCAGGTTGTTCCACTGGTTAATTGTTCTGACTGTCAGGAAGTTTCTCCTTAGTTCTAGGTTGCTTCTCTCCTTGGTTACTTTCCATCCATTGCTTCTTGTCCTGCCTTCAATGTTTTGTATACTTGGCAACTTTAACATGCATGGACTTCAACTCCCAGAATTCCCCAGCCAGCTTTTACATAAGAAGTTCTGGTGTTACCTGTGGTTGAAAGTCTGAAGCCCAATGCTGGCTGAGGCAAAGGCCACTGCTTGGCAAAAGTTGGTGGAGTAACCTATCCCTAAGGCAAAAAGACTGGATACCCCGGAGCCAATGACCTCAAAGGAAATCAAAAGACAGAATTTTGGTTAATGTGCTGGTTATTATTTACAGTATGTATTTCCCTAAGCTTATATGCCATTTCACTCATGTCTGATTCTAAGCCAGGGGTCTTCAAACTTGGCCTTTCTTGACGGCCGTATGATTCTCACCACTGGTGTTTGCCAGCTGCACTGTAAGTCACCATACGTCATTTTAATTTGGTGGTATACACCGGGGCTCTCCAAACGTGGCAGCTTTAAGACTTGTGGACTTCATTTCCCAGAATTCCTCAGCCAGCTTCCTGAGGTATTCTGAGAGTTGAAGCCCACAAGTCTTAAAGTTGCCAAGTTTGGAGAGCCCTGGTATATAAACATGTAAGTAAGTCAGTCAGTCAGTCAGTCAGTCAGTCAATCACTCAATCAATCAATCAATCAATCAATCAATCAATCCATAAATCACCAAAGGCCCCAGGTTGTCCTATGAGTCAAACACCTAAGGATACCAAAATCTCACATTGGAAATCATGGAGATATAGCCTTTGGTTCTTTCTCTGTAACAATATTTGAAATTTTTTTCCTCTTACCTGCATAAATTTACGAGCGGTGATTGGTTTGCACCCTGAAAGAAAAAAAAGGGAAACAATCAGCTGATTAGGACAGATCCCGTTTTCATTGCTGGGGGGGGGGCTGTTCTTTTGCCCACTATTTTGGTTAAAACTCTACCACACAATATCGCAACAGTATATTTAAAATAATAATAATAAAGCGCATACTTTTAAAGTTGGGTTAAAAACTCTTTAACAAGGAGTATTTCTTTTCTGCTTTTGAAAAAAAAAATGGATTGATCATGTGCCATTAAACCAGTGTTGATTCCTAGCTACCACATATATAGATGTTCTAAAAAGGTTGATTTAAAAACCAAGAGGAATATAGTTCTGGCAGGTGCAAAAACCAGGGCTGTGTATCCCTTTCAGAGATGTGGTTGCTTTAAAGAGCTCTTGAGGTGTGCCAGATTTACACCACCTGCATATTCTGATGTACCAATATGGAACTGCATCGGCAGTGTTGCAAAATTTCAGAAAAAAACCATGTTTAATTCTCCTTTGCCTTTGCTATTTGTCATATCCTATCCTTAATCCACCCTTCCTCCGTTAGAAGCAACACTTTTCACACTGTGAAGTGTCAGAGAAATAAAAATTAAGGAGAGAAACCTTACATCGCTACTAAAAAAAAACAAAACCATACTGTTTTCCAATCCTGCAGAGTCAAAGCATGTCACCGTTCAATTGTGTTCTGAACCGACAACTCAGAATTAAAGGAACAAAGAGCAAAATACCTTGACTGATACATTGATCAGACAGGAAACCAGCAAACAAGCTGGTTGGAATTGCCACCAGCCAAGGAATGACATTAAAAATCCAGCCCTGAAAGGAAGATAGAAACAGGTATTTGTAGAGCTTCCTTGTTAAAAAAAAAAATTCCAAGAAAAGAATGACCTAGGGCAGGGGACTTCAACTCCCAGAATTACTGAGCCAGCCACGCTGAGGGGAAAGGGAGAGGTTTCCATGCTGAGCCATGCTGGCTCAGGAATTCTGGGAGTTGAAGTCCACGAGTCATAAAAGAGCCAAGGTTGCCTACCCCTGACCTAGGGCCAGCTAAAAGTTTAAACTAAGGGTGTCCAACCTTTGCAACTTTAAGATTCGTGGATTTCAATTCTCAGAATTCCCCAGCCAGCATTCTGGGGGTTGAAATCCACAAATCTTAAAGGTGCCAAGGTTGGACATCTCTGCTTTAAAGGTGCTTTTTTTCTCAAGAGACAAATGGATTTTCTTATTTTTCTTTGAAGAAGTTTCGCTTCTCATCTAAGAAGCTTCTTCAGCTCTGACTGCATGGTGGAGGATGGAAGGATTTATATTTCTTGCAGACAGCTGGTCATTTGCATTCTTTTAGAGAGTCCTTGAGACCATTTGAGACCTGTGTTCTCAGGGTCATCTGAGTAGTGTAAATGGTTGTGGAGCCTTCTTGGTTGCAGGATGTTTTTCTGCCCTGGGTCCCTTCACCACTGAAGACAGGCGCAGGCTGTTGGAGATGAATCTGTGTTGTCTGCATCTCAAACTGAAGCACAAACGGTTCCTGTAGCCTGCGATGTTTTCTGGAAATCCATTCATACTCCCTCACCATTCGAAGGGTGTTCATCCCAAAGTGCACGGCTAAATGCCAGCTGTCTGCAAGGAATATAAATCCTTCCATTCCCCACCCTCCAGTCAGAGCTGAAGAAGCTTCGTGGATGAGAAGCGAAACGTCTTCAAAGTAAAACAAGGAAGTCCAATTAACTCCTGAAAAAGCACCTTTGGGACAACCATGACCTGGATGACTGAGAATCTCCACAGACATTCTCCTTTAAACCATTAACTGGGTTGACTAAGTACCATCAAATCATTTTCAACTCCTAGATTTCATCCATGACCACCTCTCCCTAACCTGGTTACGGTCTTCTAATGGTGCACTCATCTCCCCTCTAATGGAGTCCATTCACTTTGCTGTTGGTTGTCCTCTTCTCTTTCCTTCCACCTTTCTCAGCATCAAAACCTTCTCCAGAGAGTTGGGTCTTCACATAATGTGTTTTATAAAGTAGGACAATTTGAGCTTGGTCATTTGGGCCTCGAAGGTGACCTCTGGGTTGATTTACTCAATGGTCCATTTGTTTGCGGTTGTTAAGTGGATCTGGCTTTCCTCCTCGACTTTGCTTGTCAGAAGGTCACAAAAGGGGATCACATGAACTTGGGACACAGCAACCGTCATTAATATGAGTCAGTTTCCAAGGGTTGCGAATTTTGATCACACGACATTGGGTGAGGCGGCAATGGTCATAAGTATGAAAAAATGGTCATAAGTCACTTTTTTCAGTGCCGTTGTAACTTTGAACGATTACTAAGTGAACTGTTGTAAGTCAAAGACGACATCAGAATCAGAATAGAGCTGGAAGGGATCTTCAAGGTCTTCTAGTCCAACCCCCTGCTCAAGCAGAAGACCCCATATACCATTTCAAACAAGTGACCCTCCAGTCTCTTCTTAAAAACATCCAGTGATGAAGCATCCACAATGTCTGGAGGCAAGCTGTTCCACTGATTAATTGTTCTCACTGTTAGGAAGTTTCTCCTTAATTCCAGGTTGCGTCTCTCCTTGGTTAGTTTCCATCCATTGTTTCTTGTCCTGCCTACTGGTACTTTGGAGAATAAGTTGACCCCCTCTTCTTTGTGGCAGCCCCTTAGATATTGGAACACTGCTATCATGACCCCCTAGTCCTTTTCTCTAGACTAGCCAAGAAGTAAATGAAATAATTAAAATACATACACAACTCAGTAGCAGAGGGGGAAAATCTGATAGCTTTTTGACCAGTAGCACTAAAAACCATTATTCTAGACCAGGGGTAGGCAACCTTGGCTCTTTTATGACTCGTGGACTTCAACTCCCAGAATTCCTGACCCAGCATGGCTCAGCTTAGAAACCTCTCCCTTTCCCCTCAGCATGGCTGGCTCAGGAATTCTGGGAGTTGAAGTCCACGAGTCATAAAAGAGCCAAGCTTGCCTACCCCTGTTCTAGAAGAACTTGAGTTGCTGAAAAGTAACACATGCACATTCATGCTGTATGACAAAAAAGGATTATTTTATCATTTGCAGGTCTGATCAATTCTTCTTCTTCTCCTTGTGCCATATCCATTATCGGATGCTGGCGATCATGTTGGCGATCCTGTTTTTATCAGCAGCCACACGAAAAAGTGCTGCTGAGTTTTGTCCAAACCAGTCCCTTAGATTTTGAAGCCACGATGTTCTTCTTCTGCCTGGACCTCGTTTGCCTTCAATCTTTCCCTGGAGGATTAAATGGAGTATGCTGTATTTTTCTGGGTGCCGCATCACATGTCTGAAATATTCTATTGTTCGTTTTTTTAATTGTTTTGATGATTTCCCTTGGCTTTCCCAGGCAGCTTATCACCTCATTTCTGATCTTGTCAACCCAGCTTATACGTAACAGCCACTTGTACATCCACATTTCAAATGCTTCTAGTCTCTTCAGGTGGCCTTCTTCAATATTCTTCAATAGGTGGCACTATTCTGCCACAACAAGGCTTGCTATCCAGGTTTTAATTTACAGCCGCTGTCTTCATGCTTTGCTGGTTGATGCAAAATAGAGACAAACTCCTGACAATCATTTGTTCTAGTCTTCACCGCTGGCATTTATGCTTATTTGACTTCCTAGGAGCACCCAGGGTGCCATAAAAAGGAAAGCAGCTGTGAACACAAGATGTTTTTTTCTGAAAGGCAAAGAGACTTCCTTGATTGTTTTTTCCACTGAAAACATTTCACTTCTCGTTCAAGAAGCTTCTTTATTTCTGACCGAACGGTGGGATTTATATTTATATGGATTTATATTCTTTGCAGTCATCTGGTGGTTAGTGTGAAAAGTAGTCATAAGTCAGTTTTTTTCAGTGCTGTTCTAACTTCAAACGGTCACTAAGCGAATGGTTGTAAATCTAGGACTACCAGTATCAATCAATCAATCAATTTATTACAGCCAAAGGCCAACACATAAATTAAACATTCAAATAAAACAAAACTAAACAGAACCATCACAAGAGGACATAGCAATATAGACTACCACTATTAAAATCCCATCAAACAATTATGAGAAGCAGGAGCGGTAGTAACAGAATAACAGACTTATTCATGCTGGCTCAGGAATTCTGGGAGTTGAAGTCCACAAGCCATAAAAGAGCCAAGGTTCCCCACCCCTGATCTAACCCATCCTCTTCCCTTCCCCCACCCCCTCCATTTTTCATCATAATCCTATCTTCCACCTCAGAAGAGGTACAGATAAAATGAGAACTCATCCAATTGCAACGTGGCGAGCAAACTACACAATAAGACACAGTCACCCTCTTGGAGAAGTCAAAGGTGCGAGTTTACTCCAGGGCCGAGCAAAACTACTTGCCCCCCTCCTTTTCCCCTCCCATTCCCCCCTTCTCGTGAAGGATACGCGTGCTCACCTTTGAATCGGGAAACGTTTCGCTGAAGAATGTCGGCAGCCAGGACAGCAGGGTGAAGAACGTGCTAGCCGCACACAACTGAGCCACAATCACCGCCCTGGGGAAGTTCATTGCCGAGTTCAGACGAGCAAGGGTTTTCTCAAGAACCCTGAAAGGGCCATGGCTCCCAGGAAGAGCGCACGGGTGGTCCTCGCATTTACGACCACAGACCAGAAGAACGGTTGCTAATAAGGAGGTTAAGGGATTGGTGCCGAATTTTATGGTCTTTCCTGCCATGATTGTCAAGCCAATCACTGCATCGATTAAGAGAATCATGCAGTCATTATGCAGTCCGTGGGGATGCTGCGATGCTTGTAAGTGTGCAGATTGGTTGTGAGTCGCTTTTATAGTGTTGTGGTAATTTCAAACCATTGTAAGCCAAGGACTACCTATATATGATTTTCCCTCCCTCCCTCCCTTCCTTCTTCCTCGCTTCCTTCCTTCCGTCTTCCTTTCTTTTTCCTATCCCCTTCCTTCCTCCTCCCTTCTTTCCTTCCTCCCTTCTTCCTTGCTTCCTTCCGTCTTCCTTCCTTTTTCCTATCCCCTCCCTTCCTTCCATCTTCCTTTTTTCCTATTTCATTCCTCCCTCCTTCCTTACTTCCTTCCATCTTCCTTCCTTTTTCCTGTCCTCTTCCTCCCTCCCTTCCTTCCTTTTTCTTATCCCCTCCCTCTCTCCCTCCTTCCTTGTTCCCTTCCGTTTTCCTTACTTTTTTCTATCCCTCCCTCCCTCCCTCCCTCCCTCCCTTCCTTCCTTCCTTCCTTCCTTCCTTCCCTTCTCCTGAAGGGATGAATAAGCAGGGGAACACAGCAATCAAGACCTCATTCAGGTATCCCCATAGCCAACACAAAGACAGGACTCAATTTTTTTCATCAGGAATTTCTTAAGCAGTTTAAGCAATCAGATTAGGAAAAGCCCCTAAAATGTAATAATGGAACAAAATTCTAAATGCTAACAAGGACAGAAACTTACCAAATGGGAGGCTTCCTAAATAATTTTCTCCAAGGCACTTTGGTCGATTTGGAGGATAAGGAAAGACCCTTTGCCAGGTCTTGTAGTGAGACTATTATTTCTGCAAAATATAAACGGGCACGTGGTTGTAAATAGGAAACTCGGCGGTTTGGGAGGAGAGGTTTTTGCATATCCTGTGTTCATAGTATTTAGTAGAATCCTGCCCTTCCCAGAACTGCAGATTCTTCAGAGACAGATTTACCAACTCTAGAGACAGCTACACCTCAGAAACCAAGATCATGGTTGTCAGCAAACAACCCGTTAATTTACCACCAATAAATTCAGAAGGAATACCACTAGAAAAAGTTGAAAGGATCACGCACCTCGGTTCTAATTTACATGAAAGCTGAGACATGACCATTGGAAGTAAAGACAAGGATAGAGAAAGCTCGAACAGCATTCTTCAAAATGAAAAAGGTCCTCTGCAGTCACGATATAAGCCTAAGACTGAAAATCAGGCTTGTCAGATGCTATATTTTTTCTATCCTGCTCTATGGAGTAGAGAGTTGGTCTCTGACAGAAGGCCTCCTGAAGAGACTAGAAGCATTTGAAATGTGGATTTACAGGTGGCTGTTTACGTATAAGCTGGGTTGACAAGATCAGAAATGAGGAGGTGATAAGCCACCTGGGAAAGCCAAGGGAAATCATCAAAACAATTAAAAAATCGAAAAGTAGAATATTTCGGAAATGTGATGCGACACCCAGAAAAATACGGCATACTCCATTTAATCCTCCAGAGAAAGATTGAAGGCAAACGAGGTCCAAGCAGAAGAAGAACATCGTGGCTTCAAAATCTAAGGGACTGGTTTGAACAAAACTCAGCAGCACTTTTTCATACGGCTGCTGATAAAAACAGGATCACCAACAAGATCGCCAACTTCCGATAACGGATATGGCACAAGAAGAAGAAGAAAAAGAAGAAGAAGAAGAAGAAGAAGAAGAAGAAGAAGAAGAAGAAGAAGAAGAAGAAGAAGAAGAAGAAGAAGAGGAGGAGGAGGAGGAGGAGGAGGAGGAGGAGGAGGAGGAGACAGCTAATTTTCCACAAAGGATACATTAAACAAGACCAACACAATTGGTTCTAATCAACTGCAAAGCAAGAAATCTCCAAAGTAAATTGTACAGGAGTCCAAAAGGCACAACAGGGATCCAGACAAAATCCTATAGGTTTTATATATTAGCTTTATTGGATTCCTGCTGTCAGCAAGGGTTTGGATGGCTGACCTGACTCCTTCCAGTTCTAATTCTATGCCTAAATTTGGATTTCATCTAATAGATTGTATCCAGTTCAGCACTGCAAACTCTATTTTCTTCTACCAGCATCAGCATCCTCCAAACCGGCTCTGAAACCGAAGCCAAATCTAAATTTGTTTTATTTATATGTATCCCGTCTTTGTTGTTTTTACAAGCAATCCCGAGGCAACAAATATATCCAAGGCATCTTCCTCCTCCACAACAACAATCTTGTGAGGTGGGCTGGGCTGAGAGGGAGGGACTGGCCCAAAGTCACCCAGCCGGCTTTCATGGCTAAGGCTGGACTAGAACTCACCGTCTCCTAGTGACTGGCCCAAAGTCCCCCAGCTGGCTTTCATGCCTAAGACAAAACTGTTGTAAGTCAGGACTACTACCTTTACAGCCATTGGTGGATATTGTTGTGATTCCTCGCCAGCCAGTGGACACGGCAGCTAAGTCTGAGGAATTAGAGGAGGAGGAGGAGGGGCCTGAAGTGACATCAGAGTCAGAGGAAGGCTCTAAGGAGCTCCAAGACTTACAGTCTGACGAGGAGCCTGGCCCCTCTACTCACGCTCGGGCTGAGACAAAGCTGTGCTGGGAATCTGAGTTGGACAGTGATGGATCACAGCTGGGAGATATCCAGGATGCAGGAAAAACCGGCAAGAAAAGAGAGTAGGACAGAGGAATACAATGGAGTGGCTCCAAAGGCAAAGGAGAAGGCATTAGAAAGCCACGCCTTGGCTGCATAATAAAGGGGAAGGTGTGGGAGGTGCTGGTTGCTGAAGGCAACCGTTCGTGTTGAGGATCGAGTTTCTGTGAACTGTGTTTGTGTGCCATGGACGTTGACTCAGGTCTGTGAATAATAAAAGGGGATTGTTTTTTTCCTGCCGTTCCAGCCTGTTTATTTGGAAGAGAGGCTTCTCCTTGTGAGCTTAACAAGGACTCACATAGGCTGGAACAGAACAGATATATCACTAGATCAGGGGTCTTTAAACTTGGCCCTTTTACAACTTGTGGACTTCAACTCCCACAATTCCTCAGCTGGGCACGCTGGCTGAGGAATTCTGGGAGTTGAACTCCACAAGTCATAAAAGGGCCAAGTTTGAAGACCCCTGCACTAGATGATCTGAAAGGTCAGTTGGAAGACAGATTATATTGGAGAAGCTCTACCTAGGTGGCTATTAAAAGTCAACCTTGACTTGATAGCACATAATCAACTCTTTCCACAGGGTTAAAATGTCTTATGATCTTTTAAGGATGGTAACCCCGCAAAAGTACCGGTAATCCAATAAGTACAGGTAATCCTCAATATACAACCACATTTGGAACCAGAATTTCCCATTGCTAAGCAAGGCAATTGCTAAGACAGCCGCACCTGATTCTACAACTGGTTTCCCATGGTTGCTAAGCAAATCGCCGCAGTTGTTAAGCAAATTACGTGGTCATTAAGCAAACCTGGTTTCCCACATTGACTTTGCTGGTTGGAAGCTGGCTTGGAGAGTCACAAATAGTGATCACATGACTGTGGGATGCTGCCACCTTCATCAATACCTGCCTGTTGCCAGTCACCTTTTTCAGTGCTGTTGTAACTTCAAACAGTCACTAAACGAATGGTTGTAAGCTGACGACGTGTGTGCTAAAGAGAGTGTGTACTAAAGAGAAACAATGGATGGAAACTAATCAAGGAGAGAAGCAACCTAGAACTAAGGAGAAACTTCCTGACAGTTAGAACAATTAACCAATGGAACAACCTGCCTCCAGAAGCGGTGAATGCTCCAATACTGGAGGTTTTTTAAGAAGAGACTGGACAGCCATTTGTCCGAAATGGTATAGGGTTTCCTGCCTGAGCAGGGGGTTGGACTTGATGACCTCCAAGGTCCCTTCCAACTTTATTATTATTAAGCAACCTGGAATTAAGGAGAAACTTCCTAATAATGAAAACAAATTAACCAGTGGAACAGTTTCCCTCCAGAAGTTGTAGGTTGCTTCATCACTGCACGTTTTTAAGACTGGACATCCACTTGTTTGAAATGGTATAGGACAGTGGTGGTGAACCTATGACAAGCGTGCCAGAGGGGGGCACTCGGAGCCCTCTCTGTGGGCACGTGCGCCTCGCTCTTTGGCTAAGTTTTCGTAGGAAAAAGCCATTTCTCAAGCCCCTTCCTAGCCAGAACAAGCCTCCGGAGCGAGCGCACTGTTTTCAGCTTTGAATTATATCAAATCTGACACCAGAAACAGACTAACAGTTGACCTGAGTGTTGCATGTGTTGCTCTCAAACTTACAAAGTATGAGCCAAGGTTAGACAAATTATCAGCATGCATACAACAGCAAAAATCACATTAATTGTTCAAAAGCAAACTTTCAAATTGTTCAAAAGCAAACTTTCAAATTGTTCAAAAGCAAACTTTTACCTTTCAATAAAAAGTTGTTTGTATCGTTGAAATCTTCGTTATTGTGTTTTTATTGTAATACAAAAGATGTTAATTTATGATTTTTTTTCTAAACTAAAACCTCAGTATTCAGGTTAAATTGCCGTGTTGGCACTTTGCGATAAATAAGTGGGTTTTGGGTTGCAATTTGGGCACTCAGTCTCTAAAAGGTTCGCCATCACTGGACAGTGATGGCGAACCTTTTAGAGACCGAGTGCCCCAAAACTGCCTCGCCCCTGCCCCGCCCCCACCTCTCCTGCCTGCAGGGCCACCCACCACCTCCATGGCCCGCCACAGCAGATCGCCCAGGTGGCCCAACAGTGTCATGGCAGCCACGCCCTTTGTCCGTGCCCCGTAGCATCATCTGTACGTGATGGGGCGCGAAGGCAGAGTCTTGTCTCCACTGCCCGGCTGCATATCCTTGGCTGCGTTGCTCTGCACAGGCTGCGCCCAGGGCGACTCTCCTCCAGGGGGACTGTTGATGAGGGGGCCACGGGGGGGCTGGGGAGATGGTGTGCGTGCCCACAGAGAGGACTCTGAGTGCCGCCTCTGGCACCCGTGCCATAGGTTAGCCACCACTGGTATAGGATCTCCTGCTTGAGCAGGGGGTTGGACTAGACGACCTCCAAGGCCCCTTCTGAGAGCTGTCCTATAGATAGTAAAAAAAATGTTACCTACCTTTTTCCGGCAGGAGGAATTTACACATGCAGTACACCCAGAGCAAGGTGAGTAGGCCCGAAAGATAGAAGACACTTTCCCATCCATACCAGTCAAGGAGCAGGGAGCCAGCTGCCCCCATCACCAATGTCCTAAAAAGGGGAGAGAGAGAATTAGGATGGCACACATAATTGGCAGACCGGAATCTATGTAGAAGGTGACCAGGCCAAGCCCAGGGGAGAGTGGGGTGGGGTGGGGGTCAAATGCGTCAGCAGTCTCGAATCCCTTCCTGCCCACAAAAGATCTAAGTCCAGCTGACCTTGAATTTCATTGACTCTTATCTACTGCCAGATTGTTTTGACGATGAGTACAGGTAGTCCTTGAATTGCAACAGTTCATTTAGTGCAGAGATGTCAAACTCGCGACGTCACATGATGTCACGCGACGTATCGGAGCTTTTTTTGCCATTGCCGGCAATGGGGTGGGCACGGCTCCGGTATGATGAAACCGGCCCATGGGCCGGCAGTTTGACACCCCTGATTTAGTGACTGGTCAAAGCTACAATGGCACTGAAAAGTGTGACTTGTGACAGGTTTTCACAGTTACAACCTTTGCAGCATCCTTTGTGGCTTCCTGTTTGGGTGGGGGGCTGGACTAGATGATCCACAAAGTCCCTTCCAACTTTCTATTCTATTCTATTCTATTCTATTCTATTCTATTCTAGACAAGGCAAGGCAAGGCAAGGCAAGGCAAGGCAAGGCAAGGCAAGGCAAGGCAAGGCAAGGCAAGGCAAGGCAAGACAAGACAAGACAAGACAAGACAACCTGGCTTCCTGCTTGCGCAGGAGGTTGGACTAGATGACCTGCAAAGTCATTTCCAACTCGGATATCCTATTCTATTCAATCTCTTTTCCTTATTGTCCTGTTCTCCGCTTGAAGAAACTCACCCAAACTGAGATCCAGTTCCGACGGTGCTGTAGATCAGTGCTCGTTGACTCTCCTGTACCTTCTGGGAAAGCAGACTAGCCAAGGCAGGAAAATAAACCCCTAACAAAGTGGAGAGAAATAGAAAACAGAAAGAAAGAAAGAAAGAAAACCCATTATAGGCATTCCTCAACTTACAGCCATTCATTTAGTGACCGTTTGAAGTTACAATGGCAGCGAGAAAAGTGACTTAGGACCGCTTTTCACACTTACAACCATTGCAGCATCCCCCATGGACATGTGATCAAAATTCGGATGCTTGGCACCTGGCTGATATTTAGGATGGTTGCAGTGTCCTGGGATCCCACGATCATCGTGGTGGTGCAGTGGTTAGAATGCAGTATTACAGGTTAACTCTGCCCACTGCTGGGAGTTCGATCCTGACCGGCTCAAGGTTGACTCAGCCTTCCATCCTTCCAAGGTCGGTAAAATGAGGACCCAGATTGTTGGGGGCAATATGGTGGCATTGTAAACCGCTTAGAACAGAGGACCCCAACCTTTTGGACACCAGGGACCAGTGCCATGGAGAAAGGTTTTTCCGCGGACCGGAAGGGGCGTGGTTTTGAATACTGCCTGCATCCTGAGGATGGAGTTTTGCTTGTTTGTGTGGCCCGCTTGCTGGCATGCTGCGGATCGGCGGACTGGGGGTTGGGCACCCCTGGCTTAGAGAGGGCTGTAAAACACTATGAAGCGGTATATAAGTGCAACTGCTGTCACCTTTGGCGACCTTCTGATAAGCAAAATCAACGGGGAAGTCAGATCCCCTTAATAAGAACTGGAGGGATTCCCTTAACAACTATGGCAAGAAAGGTCATAAAATGGGACAAAACTCACTTAACAACGGTCTCGTTCAGCAATGGAAATTTGGGGCTCAATTGTGGTTGTAAGTCGAGGACTACCTGTGACAGCAGGTTTCTACCGTGTCCGCTCTCGCCAACGCAGCCAATTAAAAATATGGTGTTTCCCTTAGGAGTGTTGAACTAATGAAATCCCAATTATTCCAGTTTCTCAGACGAGTCAAGCATTAGGAAACAGGTTGTCTCACCCTGCAAGAGCCCCATAAGAAAGCGCGTGAAGGTCATAAGAATCAGGTGGGAGGAGCTTGAGGAAATGAGCACGGGCGTGATGGCGGTGATGGACCCCCAGGCCGACGCAGAGAGGAGAAGGACTTTCTCTCCTCCTATCCTGGAAGACAATTAGGACATTTACAGCATTTTCTGCACACCAAAACGGCTTGTTTAGCGCAGGGGTCTCCAAATGTGGCAACTTTTCAGACTTGTGGATTTTGGCTCCCAGAATTCCGTGACTGGCTGGAGAATTCTGAGAGCTGAAGTCCAGGAGTCTCAAAGTCGCCAAGTTTGGAAACCCCTGGTTTAGTGCAAGCAGCAGCGGTTGGAAACAGGAAGCGAGCATGACGCGAGGTGCACGCACCAAAATCCGTGCAGAAGGAATGAATGTTTCCTGTGCCTGCCCTGCTGTAAGCACAGGATCAATCCTTCCAAAAGGAAAATTTGCTTGCACTATTTTATGTGCCATTCCACCTGCAGGGTTATTTTTTAAGAAACCAGGTTTCTCTCTCTTCAAGAGACTGTCATCATGCACAGATATTGTACGGAATATTTGGTAGTTGACATGCAGTGGAACTGTGTGTCGGAAAGCATTCAAGAGTTGACTTCAATGAGCCAAAGGTGGGGGGTTTTTTCCCTAAAGACAATTGGAATTTCTTGGGGTTTTGTTTTTCTCTTTGAAAACATTTTGTTTCTTAATAATAATAAAGTTGGAAGGGACCTTGGAGGTCATTGAGTCCAACCCCCTGCTCAGGCAGGAACCCTACACCATTTCAGACAAACGGCTGTCCAGTCTCTTCTTAAAAACTTCCAGTGTTGGAGCATTCACCGCTTCTGGAGGCAGGTTGTTCCACTGGTTAATTGTTCTAACTGTCAGGAAGTTTCTCCTTAGTTCTATGTTGCTTCTCTCCTTGATCAGTTTCCACCCGTTGCTTCTTGTCCTGCCTTCAGGCGCCTTGGAGAATAGCTTGACTCCCTCTTCTTTGTGGCAGCCCCTCAGATATTGGAACACTGCTATCATGTCCCCCCTCGTCCTTCTCTTCATTAAACTAGACATACCCAATTCCAGCAACCGTTCCTTATATGTTTTAGCCTCCAGTCCCCTAATCATCTTTGTTGCTCTTCTCTTTCCTCTTGCTAGAGTCTCAACATCTTTTTTACATCGTGGTGACCAAAACTGGATACAGTATTCCAAGTATGGCCTTACTAAGGCATTGTAAGGTGGTATTAATACTTCACGTGATCTTGATTCTATCCCTCTGTTAATGCAGCCCAGCACTGTGTTGGCTTTTTTGGCAGCTGCAGCACACTGCTGGCTCATATTTAAGTGATTGTCCACTAGGACTCCGAGATCCCTCTCACAGTTACTACTATTGAACAAGGTACCCCCTATACTATTGGTACTATTGGTACATTTGGTTTTTCTTGCCTAAATGTAGAACCTTACTTTTTTCACCATTGAATTTCATTTTGTTAGATAGCGCCCAGTGTTCAAGTCTGTCCAGGTCCTCTTGTATCTTAAGCCTGTCTTCTGGAGTGTTGGCTATTCCTGCCAGCTTGGTGTCATCCGCAAATTTGATGAGTTCCCCATCTACCCCCTCGTCCAAATCATTTAATGAAGATGGTGAAGAGCACTGGGCCTAGAACAGAGCCCTGGGGCACCCCACTACAAACTTCCTTCCATGTAGATGCGGTTCCATTGAGGACCACACGCTGAGTACGGCCGGTCAGCCAGCTACGAATCCATCTGGTGGTGATGCTGTCTAACCCACATTTTTCTATCTTATCGAGTAGTAGGTTGTGATCTACTTTATCAAATGCCTTACTGAAGTCCAAGTAAATTATATCTACAGCATTCCTCTGATCCACTAATTTTGTCACTTGGTCAAAGAATGTAATAAGGTTTGTCTGGCATGATCTGTTTTTGACAAACCCATGTTGGCTTTTAGTAATGACTTTGTTTGCCTCTAGGTGTTCGCTGATTCGTTGTTTTGTTATCTTTTCCAGAATCTTCCCAGGTATTGAGGTCAGGCTGATAGGTCTGTAATTTCCTGGATCCATTTTTTTTCCTTTTTTGAAGATGGGAACTACATCAGCTCTTTTCCAGTCCTCTGGTAGTTCCCCAGTGCTCCAAGATCTTTGAAAAATATAGTTCAGTGGTTCTGAGATCACACCTGCCAGTTCCTTGAGAACCCTGGGGTATAACCCATCTGGTCCTGGTGATTTGAACTCGTCTAGGCTGGACAGGTGCTCACTTATCATTTTCTTGCCTATCTTAACTTGTGTTTCTATACTGTTTTTTATGGCACTATTTTTAATAGGTTGGTCTGTTTTTTCCCTTTGTGTAAAGACAGATGCAAAAAACGAGTTAAATAGTTCTGCTTTCTCCCTATTGTTAGTCACCTTCTTACCACTTTCCCCCACTAATGGACCAATCGTTTCCTTCACTTTTTTCTTGTTTTTTACATGTTGAAAGAAGCTTATCTAAGAAGCTTCTTCCCTTCAAAGGAAAAAACTAAGAAGTAAAATTGCCTTTTGGAAAAAGCACTTTGGGACTTGGCTGATTGAGAATCTCCATAGACCAGTGGGGGCGAACCTATGGCACGTGTGCCAGGGGCGGCACTCGGAGGCCTCTCTGTGGGCACGTGCACTTCGCTCTTTGGCTGAGTTTTCACAGGAAAAAGACATTTCTCAAGCCCTTCCTAGCCAAAACAAGCCTCCGGAGTGAGCGCATTGTTTTCAGCTTTGAATTATATCAAATCTGACACCAGAAACAGACTAACACAGTGATGGCGAACCTTTTAGAGACCGAGTGCCCAAACTGCAACCCAAAACCCACTTATGCATCGTCGGGTGCCGGGTGGGTGTGGCCCATTGGCTGGGTGTGGCCCATTGGCTGGGTGTGGCCCATTGGGTGGGCCTGGCTGCAGTGGTAATGGCAGACTGGGTGGGACTAAAAAGTTCAATCAATCAATTCCAACTTTGCAAGATCTTTTTTTTTCCGCAAGAAGTTGAAATTGACTGATTGATTGAACCTTTTTTTTTTGTACATGGTGGCAGAGGCAAAGGTTTTATAAAACCCAGCTGAAGACCTAGGACTGGGGCGACAGCGCGCATGCCCACAGAGAGGGCTCTGAGTGCCGCCTCTGGCACCCGTGCCATAGGTTTGCCACCACTGGACTAACACATGACCTGAGTGCTGCATGTGTTGCTCCCAAACTTACAAAGTATGAGCCAAGGTTAGACAAATTATCAGCATGCATACAACAGCAAAAATCACATTAATTGTTCAAAAGCATGCCAAATGCAAACTTTTACCTTTCAGTAAAAAGTTGTTTGTATCGTTGAAAGCTTTGTTATTGTGTTTTTATTGTAATACAAAGGATGTTAATGTATGAGTTGTTTTTTTTTCTAAACTAAAACCTCAGTATTCAGATTAAATTGCCGTGTTGGCACTTTGCGATAAATAAGTGGGTTTTGGGTTGCAGTTTGGGCATTGAGTCTCTAAAAGGTTCACCATCGCTGCCATAGACATTTGAGTTCAATGAGATAAATATGCAATTGTGATAGTCTATGAGGCTTTGTAATACGCTGCTTTGAATGCTCAACAGATAGAAAGGATAAAACCAATGAATAAAATGATGGCCACGAAGATGATAAAGAAACAATGAAAGAGAATTCGAATTCTTATCGAAAATGCAAATTTATCGATGTTTCATTGAAAGGTGAGTGACACATCCTTATTCCTATTGCTAATTAATGACTGAATATTATTTTTACTGAATGTAGAATAATGATAAAAAAAAATTTTTAAAAGTCCTTCAGTGCTAAAGCAGTGCTAAGACCACAAAGTAGTATTGTTCATACCGGTCACTCAAGTGGCCCCCAACAACTTGAGTTAGACAGTAACCCCAGAAGAAGCTGCTCAACACAATTCCAGACTGTTTCTTGTCCCAATCGAAGAGACTGCTCATGGTGACCACACAGATGGGCATTAGGACCCTGGTACAGTAAAGCAGGCAGGTTCCAAGCAGGAGCATTGTGGTCCATAATCGGGATTCAGGCCTGTTAATATCAGAAGACGGAGAATATTAATAGGAAGTCAGCACCCCCCCCCCCAGAGAAGGAAATATTTTAGAGAATATTAAAAAAGGCAGAATATTATATTTCCCCAAAGGAATAATAGAAAAAATCTTAGACAAAACCAGCCCCCAGAAACCAGCCCCCAAGCAGATACTCAGCAGGCCAACTCTGTAGAAATGCAGATTTGATAATTCTATTCAGAAAGACTGGGCCACCTATTCATAAGCAAAATGTCTTCAGCTACAGCCCCAGAGAAGCAGGACATAACCTTTAGGACACAAGAGGATTCACCCACTACCATTAAAATACCAAAAGGACACACTGCAAAGTCAAAGTTCATTGCACAGGAACAGGAACAACCTCAAACGGGAACAACTCCAAACACAAAACCCAAAGAAGCCCACCACTCCCAGCTCCATTTTGTCAGCTTTCCCAGAACCACGTGCAGCTGATTCTGTTCTTCAACAAACAGAACCTTCTTTCCAAACAGCCTCCATTTTATTATTTCCCAGCTTGGATTGGACCCTGGTGAAGATTTTTCTTTCAACATTAGCATGTTATGTATTTAGGTACCTCAGTAAAATAATCCAGTCCTAAAAAAAACCTTCATCCTGTAGAAGGATAGGTAAGGGGCAGAATTTGGGGTGGAGTCAAGAGAGGAATCAGCCTAGAGTCGTTATGTTCCCACAAGTGGTGTAAGTCCAACTTCTCTTGAACTCCTTTAACTCTTATCTAGCATCCCAAAGGTGCTTTTTCAAGAGGCATCTAGACTTTCTGGTTTTTGTTTGAAGACGTTTCGCTTCTCATCCAAGAAGCTTCTTCAGCTCTGACTGGATGGTGGGGAATGGAAAGATTTATGTTCCTTGCAGACAGCTGGTCATTTGCATTCTTTTAGTCAACTCGCGGTCAGCACTGTGTTGTAGGCTGGAGATAGATGATGCTTGAACTTTCAGCAGTTCCAAGAAGGCTCCACACCCATGTGCATCACTCAGGTAACCTTGAAAATACAGATAAACCTCCAAGGGGCCTCAACGACTCTCTAAAAGAAGGCAAATGACCAGCTGACTGCAAGGAATATAAATCCTTCCATTCCCCACCATCCAGTCAGAGCTGAAGAAGCTTCTGGGATGAGAAGCAAAATGTCTTCAAAGAAAAACAAGAAAGTCCAGTTGCCTCCTGAAAAAAGCACCTTTGGGACAACCATGACCTGGATGACTGAGAATCTCCATAGCCTCTCATCTAGCATCAATTTAGTGCTGACCATGAGTTGACTAGTTTCTTATCTATAGACATGAACAATAAATTATCTTAACTCAGGGGTCTTCTAACGTGGCCACTTTAAGACTTGTGGACTTCAACTCCCAGAATTCTTCAGCCAGTCCTGAGGTATTACTACTACTACTACTACTACTATTATTATGATTACTATTATTATTATTATTATTATTATTATTATTATTATTATTATCTTTCACAAACCATGGTTAAAAATGAAACATGATTTAACCTACCAATAAGAAACTTTTTTAAGGACCCCCAAACACCCTCTGAACATTGCTTCCAAAAGTCACTGTCATGGCTATCTTCCATTTTAAAGAGAAAATTAGAAAATTCTGCTACAAAGGGTAAAATAGACTTATCATACTTTAAAAAAATGTCTGTGTGTGTGTGTGAGAGAGAGAGACAGAGGGAGGGAGAAATCCTTCTTTTTCCAAAATCAACCAGAATAAAGAAATGATGAATATCAAAAGACTGCCGTCCCTAGATTAGAGGGATGCATGACTCCGCCAGTTAAATCACATTTAGTAAGAAAATAAGAGTTCAGATAGTTATGGGCTGTCTGCAAAGTGACTAATTTTATGACCCAAATCCTCTCTTTAAGCACGCCTAAACTCCAACTTCTTTCTAAGGGTCACTTAGCAAATTGCACTTAATTCTCAACCTATAATTAAGTTAGTGCACGAGGCCTGATCTGCAAAGCTGATGGGCCGAGCAACAATATCAATTTGTAGTACTTTGGCTTCAGGATTCATCTTTTTGTTTTATTCTTTTATTAAATTAAAGCATCTGAAGGCAGGACAAGAAGCAACGGATGGAAACTAATCAAGGAGAGAAGCAACCTGGAACTGAGGAGAAACTTCCTGACAGTGAGAACAATTAACCAGTGGAACAACCTGCCTCCAGGAGCAGTGAATGCTCCAACACTGGAAGTTTTTAAGAAGAGACTGGACAGCCATTTGTCTGAAATGGTATAGGGTTTCCTGCCTGAGCAGGGGGTTGGACTAGAAGACCTCCAAGGTCCCTTCCAACTTTATTATTATTATTACTTATTTTCAACACAATTACACAACTATCCCCCAGTTCAGAACTTGTCCCAAGATACCAGAAGGGTACTCCACTGTCTCACAACCCAGGAAAGATTTTGCTTCAGCTCTATTCTAAACTCCAATATTTAAATAATAAAGGCACTGCCCCACCTTTTTATTTCTTTCAGTTGTGAACAATGGCACAGAAATACCTTTTATAGGGTTAACTCTGCTAGCAATTCAAATATTTGCTTCCTCCTTGTGCTGTTGAAAAAATGAACATACAGTATATCCACCCCAATGCCTAAGCCCTGCTTAGGCAACCTAGGGCAGTTCAGATGTCCTTAGGTAGTTCTCAACTTACAACGGTCCTTTTAGTGATCATTCAAAGTTACAATGGCACAATGAAAAAAGTGACCTACGACCACTTTTCACACTTACAACCGTGGCAGCATCCCCACGGTCACGTGTTCAAAATTCAAATGCTTGTCAACTGATTCATATGTATGACGGTTGCAGTGTCCCAGGGTCATATGATCTCCTTTTGCGACCTTCCGATAGGCAAAATCGATGGGGAAGCCAGAATTCACTTAACAACCGTGTTACTAATTTAACAACTGCAGTGATTCAGTATACAACCCTGGCCAGAAAGGTGATAAAACTCACGTAATAGTTGTCTCACTTAACAACAGAAAATTTGGGCTCAATTGTGGTCGTAGGTTGAGGACTACCTGTGCAGGAAAGATTTTGATTCAGCTGCACTGTAAATTCTAACTTTTAAATATAATACAGTGCAAAACTACTGTCCCACATTTTTTTTTCCTTGAGGTTTGAACGACGGCACTGAAACTTGGCAAATAGGTTTTATAAGGTTAAACCTGCTTGCAGTTCAAATATTAGCTTCCTGCTTGCACTGTTGACAGAATGCATAATCCATCACAACACAGTAGTATTTCTCAACTTCCGCCGCTTTAAGCTGTGTGGACTTCAACTCCCAGAATTCCTCAGCCTCACGTATAGTTGTATTTTAAAAGCCTCCAGGCAAAGCTGGCTGGGGAATGCTGGGAGTTGAAGTCCACACAGCTTCAAGTGGCCAAGATTGAGAAACATCGCATCACAGTGTACCACCTAAGCCCTGCTTACACAACCTAAGGCATCCAAATGTCGCTATATCACAACTCTCATCATCCATCACCACTGGTGCTGGCTGAGGAAGATGGGATCTGGAGTTCAGAGGCTCCCATTGGGCCCTTTCTTAGCCTGAAAAAAAAAAAGGACTGCAGATTTTCCCAAGCTGATGCCTTCCAGCCATTTTGTGCATTACAAGCCAATATGGCTATCACCGTGCAAGCAAGGGATTCTGGGAGTGGTAGAACAAAACAGCTGGGAAGCACAGCTGGGAAGGCCTAGAGAGTCATAAAAAGACCAAACCTGCCTGCAATGGCCTCTCACAACCTTACAAAGTTAACATCAAGTCCACTTATTCTCTTCCCACAACTTCTTTTGCTTAGAAACATCCAGGATTCAAAAGACAAATCACCATTTGGTGCCATTTTGATGCACATCTCAAGCCCTATAAGTTGCCTTCATTCTTCCCCAACTTGGACAAATGGGTGGTCTTAACTCCCAGAATCCTCCAGCCCTCCTGGCTGCCGCTAGGTATTCTGGGACTTGAAGTCCACACCCCAACCTGGCCAAGAAAGGCTGGCTGATCTACTTAGATTAGGCCTTTCCTCCAAAAAGCTTAAAAGCAAATGTGACATTTGCCTGCTATGATAGCAGCCACGTTGGCACAACCCACGTAGCCCGCCTCTGGATTAAACAGAATTAAACCTCTAACCAAGAAAAGAGACACCGGGCAACACGGCAAGTCATGGCTGGCTGTAGATTCCCAGGTCCTATTTTGGGAGGAGGGGGGGGAGAGGTATCCCAGCATCCTTTGGGGCAGCTGGCTCTTCCTGCTTCTTGCCTGGAGGACTGTTGGCTGCAGATAGGCAAAAATGGGATTCAAAAGGCTTGGAATGACCCAGTTAGGATCAAGCTCAGGAACTGCACCTGAGAAAGAAGGACAGATCTGGAAGGAAGGGAGGGAGGGAGGAACAGAAGGAAAGGAAAGGAAAGGAAAGGAAAGGAAGAAAAATAGGAGGGAAAGGAAAGGGAAGGATGAGAAAGAAGAAGGAAGGGAGGGAGGGAGGGAGGAAGGAAGGAAGGACAGCAGATATATCATCCCAGGAGAATAGTTTAGCATGGTGGCCACTCCTGCCCCCTGTGTCACTTTCCTGAAGGACTAATCAATGTCTTATGTTACTGATTGCATTTCCAACCAGTACTCCCCTAGTTTAACTCCCCTGCCCCAACAACAACTTTGCGAGGTGGGTCGGGCTGAAAGAGAGAGAGAATGGCCTAAATTCATCTGAGGGCATCCAAGTAGGGATTCATATCCGGCTTTTTGAGATGCTAACTAACAAAGGAGTCACTGTAGCACACTGGCCTCCCCAACCCTCACCCGTCCGTCCCCCCACCCCAAAAAAACCAGCCATTTCTATGGAGATTCTCAGCCATCCAGGTCATGGTTGTCTGAAAGGTGCTTTTTCAAATACCAGCTGGTCGTTGTGTTTTTCTTTTCCAATTACCTTTTGGAAAAGCACTTTGGGATAGCCATTAAGCTGGACTGGG